GAGCGCCTGCTCCGCGTGCCGCTCCGCCAGTGCTGGCACGGCAGGCTGCGGCGCGCGGCGCGCGGAGCATGTCCCAAACCCCTCTTCTTCTTCTTCTTCTTCCTCCTCCTCCTCCTCCTCCTCCTCCTCCTCCTCCCCCTCCTCCTTCTCCTCCCTCTCCTCCGCCCCCTTCTCCGTCTCCTCCTCCTCCCCTCCTCTTCCTCCTCATCCCTCCTCCGCCCCCTTCTCCTCTCCTCCTCTCCCTCCTCCTCTTCTCCTCCTCCTCCTCCTCCTCCTCCTCCTCCTCCTCCTCCTCCTCCTCCCTCCCCCTCCTCCCTCCTCATCCCTTCCTCCGCCCCCTTCTCCTTCTCCTCCTCCTCCCTTCCTCCTCCTCCTCTCCTTCCTCTCCTCCGCCCCCTTCTCCTTCTCCTCCTCCTCCTCCTCCTCCTCCTCCTCCTCCTCATCCTCATCCTCATCCTCCCTCCTCCTCTAGGTATGCACCTGCCGAGCGCTGCTCAGTCTGCCGTCCGACGAGGCAGGGCGACACGCCATCAGCTTGCGAGGCGCAGCGGGTCGCAGGGGCCGTCGCCGCGACACGCCACGCAGGAGTCCGTGGCCGTTCTGCCCGGTCCCTCGACGCCATGCTTTGGTTTCACGACGTGGACCCCCAGAGGTCTGGACCTTCTCTTTCAGGACCGGCCTGTCATCCCGAATCGTTGTTTCACGGGCCCATGCCCCAGCGAGGGCCCCCCAGAGGCTGGAAATTGCCACACATTGTCCGTCGCGTTTTTTCTCACTGCCCGAGGGGCTCTGAGTACCCAGAGGTGCGACGTCCTGATGTTTTGCTCGTATATGGGATCCCCGGAAGTCCCGACCCTTGCCCCGGGACCAGTTTTTCGTCCTGAGTCGTTGTTTGACGGTCCTGCGGCCTGGCGAGGGCCCCCCGAGGCCGAAACTGGCCGAAAACATCACGTCCTGATGTTTTAACGACGCGATCATGTCTGGGGAAGAGGAGGAGGAGGAGGAGGAGGAGGAGGAGGAGGAGGAGGAGGGGCAGGAACAGGAGCAGGAACAGGAGCAGGAGCAGGAGCAGGAGCAGGAGCAGGAGCAGGAGGAGGAGGAGGAGGAGGAGGAGCAGCAGCAGGAGCAGGAGGAGGAGAAGGAGAAGGAGGAGGAGCAGGAGCAGGAGCTGGAGCAGGAGCAGGAGCAGGAGGAGGTGCAGGAGGAGGAGGAGGAGGAGGAGGAGGAGGAGGGAGCAGGAGCAGCAGGAGCAGCAGGAGCAGCAGGAGCAGGAGCATGGGCAGGAGGAGGAGGGAGGAGGAGGAGCAGGATGAGGAGGAGGAGGAGGAGGAGGAGGAGGAGGAGGAGGAGGACGCGATGTCATGGCTGCGTACTCCTCCCTCTCTTCGCCTTGACCGTCTCTCCGCTCCCCGCCGGCGGTGTGGGGCAGGCGGTATGGCTGGTCGAACGCCGGCGAGTGCGCCCGCCCGCCCGCGCGCAGCCCCTGCCCTGGGCGGCCTCCCGGCACATGCGCGTGGGGTTCCCATGTGGTCGTCGGCAGTGACGAAGCGTCCTGGCGTGCCCATGGGCCAACCAAACAATGTGATTCTCGGGGGCGGAAAAGAGGGGGGTGATGACTGGGGGGGGGTGGCTATCATGGCGGGGGCCATGATTTTTCCCCAGATTTCATGGCGCCTCTTCTTATTTCATTACGTCCCTGGCCCCCCCGCTGGGCCGCGCACATGCCGCCGGTCATGATTTGCCCCCCCTGCCCTCTTGGACACCCCCCTCTTGGCCGCTCCCGAGATTCTAAGAACCTGTTGCGGCTTCCTCGGCTACACGTGAGAGTGACCTTTCGCCGGAGCGACCTTTAGTGCGGGCACCATGGGGCCCCCCGATCACCGACTGCGATGCGATAGTAGCGTCTTGCGCGCCTGAGTTTGGTCCCCCCGCGGCCCCACAAAAGCCGCGCACCAAAGGTCACTCTTACGCAGGGCCACTCTTACGGGTAGCCGACTTCCACGGAATGTTCTTAGAAGCTGGGACTGTCTTTTTCTAACACATCGGGTTCATGTTCTAAGATCATTGTTCTTGTTCTCAGAGAGTTTTTGGGTTCTGAGAACATGTGGTGGCAGGCCTATAGGCATGCCGGGGCGGTCCGTCCCTGCTCAAGATCGGATGGTTCCGAGCCCGGTGTTTTTTTCTCGATCCCAGACCCCCTGGTGTCATGAAACAAATCACGACGCGAGGTTTTCCGCTATTGTCGGGTTTTGGGGGCCCTTACCGGGCCGCGGGACCGTTATCAAACGACTCGGGGCGAAGAACCAGACTTTGGGAATGGGTCCGAGACTCCTGGGGGTCGAATGACAAAATCATGACGTCGGGGGTCTGGGATGTCAGCCCTCGGGAGCCACTCTCGGGCCCCTGGGTGTTCAAAAACAGACTCGGGGACGAGCGAAACTATTCAGCTCGTTGAAGGTGTCGAGGCATCCGGGGCCGCGGATTGAGCAGAACATCGACGGACATCAAGGAGTCACGGCTGCTGGTGTTTCATTGCTCTCGGCCTTTTGATGCCGCTTCTCGACCCCAGGACCGACCCGGAGTGAAAGTCCGGCCCCAGGGAATTGGTCCAGATCCCGGGGTTCTGTGGGGCACGCCACGAGACAGCTGCGACGCCGACGTCGTCCTGCTTTCTGCCACATGCCGTCGGTGGTCGTCTGATTTCAAGTACCCGCTGCACCTTCAGCCGCCGCTCTTCGGGCTTCTGGACCCAGGGTCGTCTGCGCCGACCCGGCCAGACCGGGCCGACACAGGTCTCTGCGGACCGGGCCAGGGGCGGCTGCCCAGAAAAGACTGGACGGGAGGGGGGAGGGCCCGGGGTTGGGGCGAGAGTGGATGTGCCCACGTGAGCGACGCCAAAAACGGGACAGCCACCACTATGCAGCAGTCGGTTGAACGTCAAGGCCCACTGCTTCGAAACCGTGTTGGCGTAAGACTTAGGATAAGCCCTTCATTTTATTGGATGCACTTCATGTTTTTTCGACGCTATCCTGCACATGGGATAAGTCTCCAGACTGTGAAGCAACATAGAAATATCCCGCCCGCGAAAAACATGTTGAGCTATACACAATTACCAGACATTTCGAGCAGCAGAGTGAAGGTGAAAAACACCACTGACCACGGGTGGCTCCGACCCGAACGCGCGAGCACCAGAACGCGGATGAATCTGACAATAACCTCATGCCCGTGAGAATAAACACTAGGGGATAATAAAGTTCGGGGTTCAGGGAGAGATAATAAAAGTAGCCCAGCAGACCTCAGCATAATCTCGAAGTAAGAGATGATCAAGAGGAGACCAAGCCGAGCACGTTTTGAGACATCCTTGGCGTTTAGTTTTCATAGAAATATCCTCAACAATGGCTTATCTCTCATGAAAACTGTTTTTTGTAAGTGCTCGTGTAGGGTAGCTCATGTGCCTCAATTTCCATGGATAATCAACCCCAGAGATAAAAAAGTTCAGGCGAGCGTGGGGACAGAGAGAAATATAAAAGAAGAAGAATACAGTAGAAGAATAATAAGAAAGAAGAAGAAGAGGATAATAAGAAGAGGACGAAGAAAGGAAACAATCCAAAGTTCCAAATCTATCAATTTTAATTTACAAACGCTTTATGAACATTGATTTTTTAAAGTGCTCGTGTAGGGTAGCTCATGTGCTTCATTTTCCATGGATAATCAACCCCAGGGATAAAAAAGTTCAGGCGAGCGTGAGGACAGATAGAAATATAAAAGAAGAAGAGGAAAGTATAATAATAATAAGAACATTGCTCGTTTCGTTTGAGTCTGCCTCCCAAAATTATTGGTTTCGCTTGACACATCCTGAAAAAGTGTGATCGCTTCGCTTGATGTTGCTATATCAACATCGCTTGATGTTGCTATCTCAACATAGCGTTTCGAGGTGATAATGAAGTTCGGCCTCAGCGCTCGCCGCCCAATTTGAATTTTGTATAGGGCGACGATAATCAACTCTAAACACTGAAGGGGGGGGTCCCTTTATTATCATCGGCATGCGGTTAGTGAAGTGGTGTTGAATAGGGCGTGGGAACCCAGGCGTTCGCTTGAGACCCTGTGGGTACCCCTCGGGCGAAATGCATACACCTCCACAGCACACCCTGCAGCTTGAAAAACCCGCACCCACCGAAATCGTCCAGTCTCGCCGTCCTACAGCTGCTGCGAAGGCAACGCCGCAGGAAGAGCGTTCGAGACCCTCGAAGCGCCACGTGAGGGCACTCGACGCGGCCTGGGGCCCACACAGCCAAGTGCTGCGCACGCCCCCCCGAGGTGGAGGAGCACAGAGACAAGGGAAAAGCGGAGGAGGCCGAGGAGGCGGAGGAGGAGGAGGAGGACATGGAGAAACAGGGAGGATTACCCCCAGTAGTATCACCTCATGGAGGCCCCCCTGGTGCCTCGGGGTCCCAGTGCTCACGGCCCGCGTGCGCCTCGCGGGAAACCATGTGTGCGTCGGCACCCGCGATGGCGCAGCGGTTGCCCCAGTGGAAAGAGGTTCAGGCTTAAGGGACCCACGCGGTGCCAGGAACCAACGAAGATGGCATCGCGTCGCTTATTTGGCATCACCCCCCCCCTGGTGTGGCGGGGGGGCGACCGGTTTCGGTGCGACGAGCTTCTCCAGAGGGCGCAAGGAGCGCGGACCCCCCAGTCGCGGAGGGCCCGTGCTGCCTGTCGCCCATCAACATTGTCGTCCTCCGCCTCCTCCTCCTCCTCCTCCTCCTCCTCTTACTCCTTGTCCTTCTTCCCCTTGTCCGAATCGTGCTTCTCCTCGTGCTCTGCCTCCACATGCCTTCGGCCTCCGTCTGCTCCCAACCTTTGGCCGCGGCCTCAATCTCCCGTCCTCAATCATCTGTTCTCCGCTTCTTGGATCGAGGATTTAACGTTTGTGTTCGCGCCATGCTTGGAGACACACGCCCGCCGTCATCATCTGAGCACGGACGCCCATCGCGCTGGCAATGACCGCAGCCAAGGCATACGTCGCCGAGTTCGTTGGCACCTTCATTCTGACATTCACTGTCGGCTGCAACGTTCTCAGTGGGCAAACCATCGGGGCTGGGGCGTCGATCGGGTGTTCCCTGATGGTAGCCATCTACGCCTTGGCGCCGATTTCCGGAGCGAACTTCAACCCTGCGGTGTCTGTCTCGCTCGGCATCGTTGGCAAGCTGCCCTGGAAGGATGTCGCGCTCTATTCGGTGGTGCAGGTCTTGGCAGGCATGCTCGCGGGCCTCCTCTCCGACATCCTGTATGGGGCTGCCCTTGCCCTCGGACCCGTGGGCGACTTCTCGTGGTGGCAGGCGGGCATATGCGAGCTCCTCTACACGTTCATGCTCTGCTTCGTGGTCCTCAACACCGCCTGCTCTGCGGCGAACGCGGGCAAGCGTCAGTTCTATGCCCTCTCGATCGGCTTCATGATCGTGGCGGGCGCGTACGGGGCGGGCGCCGTCTCTGGCGGCTGCTTCAACCCCGCCGTGGCGCTCGGCCTCCAGGCAGGCAGCTTGAGCCGTGCGAGCTTCGACAGCCTGAGCTCGTTCCTGGGGTGGTCTCCGCTCTACGTGGCGTTCGAGCTCGCTGGCGCCGTGGTGGCGGCAGGCTGCTTCCAGGCGGTGCGGCCCCCGCGCTTCGAAGAGGGGCGTCCGGCGAGGATGCTGGCCAAGGTGACGTCGGAGATCCTCGGGACCTACATGCTTGTGCTCACGGTCGGGCTCAACTGCTTGGCGGAGTCCCCCGCCGCGCCCTTCTCCATTGCAGGGCTCGACATGAAAGGTGTTTTTGTTGCGATGTCTTGGGCCGTCTTCGTTTTAACATCGTTCTGCAGCAAAGGCGGAACGAAGGCAAAACGAGGGAAGTCGAAAAAAAAGAGCACGGCAAGTACCGTTTTCGTCGAGCCCTGCTCCATTGCGGCGTCGCTGATGTGCATGGTGTTCGCCCTCGGCGACGTGTCGGGGGGCCATTTCAATCCGGCGGTGACCCTCGCGATCCTCGCGATCAGGGCGATCGGAGCGAGGGATGCCGTTATCTACTGGGGCGCCCAGGTGATCGGGGGGATCCTTGCGGCTGGGACCTACATGGGCATCTACGCGGGGGAGACCCTGGGATTCGGCGACGGGTTCGGCCCCGGCAAGGGGTTCGGCCTGTGGTGGGAGGTGGCGGTGGCCGAGGCGTTCTTCACGTCCGTCCTCGCCTTCGTCGTGGTTAGCGTCGCCTGCTCGCCCAGCGCGCGCAGAGGCAGCTACTCGGAGGTATTCGGGTTCGCCATCTCGAAGACCAGCACCTGGCATACACATAAACGTTCGGAGCTGCGCGCAGATTCCTTGGATCGGCGCTGGACCCCCCCCTCCCGGGCGGCGCCTGCAGCGCCGATCCAAGGCACCCGTGCGGAGCTCCGAACGGGAATGTCTATGCCGTTTGCTTCTTCCTCGACCCTCGGCTCCTGCGTCGCCGTGGGCGGTTGTGCGATCGGCTCCGTCTCGGGCGGCAGCCTGAACCCCGCGGTGTCCATCGGCATCGCGGCGAGCCAGGCGATGGGCGGCTCGGGCTTCGGTGGCTTCCTCAGGGAGGGGTGGGTCTACACCCTGTCTGAGATGGCCGGTGCTGGCGCCGCGGCGCTTGTGTATTTCTTGACGCACGCCGACAGGTCGGAGGAGTCGGAGGAGTCGGATGACGAGGAGAGGGAGCGTCTGAATCCGTCCGACGACGAGGAGGAGCAGTCCCTCATGGGCAGCTGGTGCTCTCGCTGAGGTTCACCACGGGAGGCTGGCGCGCGAGGCCACCCGCCCACCGAGCCATCGGCGCCCCGCTTTTTGTTGTTTCTTCGCGGCCCGACATATCGTGTGCCTGTGCGGTTCTGGGATGTCCCAGCCTCGATTCCGAAACGTACAGGGTCCGGCTTGAATAAGGAACACTTACTTCTCAAAAGGGGCTCGGTCGTTCCTGTGGTTTGAATGCGTTTCGCTACCTTTTTGGCGGCGAGTCCCCCTCCCCTGGTGTTCCTTCGGATTCTTTAGAATTACTTGGAATAAAGGGGGCTTCGTTCCTTATTTATCGTTCCCTAGGTCAGGCCGAATACTGTACGTCCGAGTCACGTTCAGACCCGCTGTCGCGAGCCACGTCCAAGCCCACTGTCACGATCCACGTCCCAGTCCACGTCCAAGCGCATGTCCAGACTCCGGATGTTCCAAACCTACTTTAGCCTTGATCGCCAAAACGAAGTTCGAGCACCAAACAGGTACCAGAACTCGAGGGTTTTCACGTGTCGGGCACTGGGAAACAGTCGTCCGACACTGTTTCGACATTGTTTTGATACCTTTTCGACACTTTTCGAGGTGCTCGAAATCATTTCTGGGATGCGGCCCTTAAGCACGATGGGAGCAACATAAGTCAGGAGGGAAAAAACACACACAGACACAGCTGATCGTCGATTCCCTAGAACATATGGGAATCATTGGGAAGTGTGGGGGGGAGACACGAGCCCAGAAACTGTGGGAGAATATAGGGAACCCTGTTCTTTGCGTGTACTTATATAAGTGTGTCCCTGGGCCCCTTCAGCAGCAGAAGGCAGACTCGCGGTCAAGATCGCCTCAAGATCTGTGGACGGCGACCGCGGTGGCGGCGAAGCCCACGCCGAGACCCGGCGACAGCGAAGGGCCACCCTGGGTGGACCCCCGTTGGGCAACAAAGTTTAGGTAGGGCCTGTCCCTCTACAGAAACTCAAAAGTAGTAAGAAAAATTGTCTGGGGACGATTTTTCGACGATCTGTGAATACTGCTTGCACACTTTTGGATTATTTCTTAATGTTCGTCATACTGCTTGCACACTTTTGGATTTTTTTAATTCTTCGTCCAAAATCCCCCTGTAGGGGGACATGCCCGACCTAAAACAAAGTCCCCAGGCCTCGCCCGGCAGGGACCGCGCTCTTCAGGCGCTGGCAAGACGCCTGCAGTGCAAGCACGATGTGGGAAACATGTCTCGTGCCACAGGGGGCGCACCAACTGATAAATTGACCTGCCAGCGTGTGCCCCACGGAAATCTCTGATCTCCAGACGTCCTTGGACGGCCATTGGAATTCTGGGATCGCCTCGCGAGGTCCAAGGTTGACCTAATAATGTGCCATTCGATGCGTTGCGGATGCTCGAAGGTGTTCTTTCTGCACCCAACGGAGGCCCGAAGTTGGGACCGTTGGGGCATACTCCCATGGATCCCGGACCTCGACTCTGGGCAAATCGTAGCGCCAGGGTGCCCGCGCTTTCTTTTCTTTGTTTGGCAAGGCCAGACAAGGAAGGGCAAAGCAATTTTGCGAGATGGCGCCAGCTTTTCCGAGGATGACATCCAATTTGGCTCATGGAGGCCCAGATGGAGCCCCAGGACGATTCCGTGGTGGCCTCTGAGCATCCCAGGCATACATCCGAGTGTAAGCAAACCAGTGCCAGGATGTTCATGATGGACGTGCTTCCGATGGGCCTCGAAGGCTTTAGGACGGACCCAAGATGACCCAAGAATGCCCCAACAGGAGTCGACCTTTGTTCCCGTGCAGTACAATCGGGTTGGGCATTATTGCAAGTTCAGTGGCGACCCGAGTGATGGCCCTCGCCTCTCGTCCGCGCCGGCGTCGGCAATGCAGGGGTAGCTCCTGAGAAGCTTCTCTCGAGCGTTTCAATGCAACACCGACCAGGCTTGAACGACTGCCCGTCTGAGAAAATTGGCCATGCCCGCGTCGTGAGCCAAGCGCAGTCCACATGCCTGACGTGTGCTTCGGCGCTGGGCCGCTTTGCGGAGCTGGCCGGCTACAGCTGAGGCGGCAGGCATGAGCATCGCGCAGAGGGCGTGGGCCCGTGCTGCTCAAGTGCACGCGCTCTCCGCACCCCGTGAGGTCTCAAAACCTCTGCCTTGCTGCACAGGGCGGCGACGAGGCCTGCGACCAGGTGTCCCACAGGCCAGCTGCGCGAGGCCGGCCTCGCGCGATGCGCGTGCGCAGCAGCTCGAGGCAGGATCCAGAGCCCTCGTCGCGCCCTCGTCGAGTCCACAGGGCGGGTCCCCCGCCACCCTCCCCTCCGTCTTTGGCGCAGGCGCCGGCAGGGCGACCTCGCGCTGCCCCCCTTCCTCGCCATCCTCCTCCGCACGTGTAATCTTGTGTGCTTCAATACATGTCGAGCCCCTTCCCTGGCCACTCGCATCGGGTCGCCCACGACAAAGCAGCCTGGGCGTCGCCCGGGGCTGGTTCTCGCCCGGACGGTTGGACCAGCTGTATGTTGCCCGCGCCCAGGACACTCAGCAAAGCACGACAACGTGTTTCTCTCGGCATCGCTCGGACGTGTGCATGTTTTCTCGGCGAGGCACATCGAGGAGCATCCTGGATCACCGAGCAAAAACACGCACACACACATTCACACACACACACACACATTCACGCACACACGCACGCACGCACGCACGCACGCACGCACGCACGCACGCACGCACGCACGCACGCACGCACGCACACACACACACACACAGTAACCGTTCGGCTCAACCTGGTTCGCCGGGCGCGCTGGCTCGTGCCGGCCGCGCTCGCACCCGGCCATGCCCGGTGCGTTCACGCCGCAGGCGGGGCGTCGGGGCGCGGAGGAGGCGGCGCGCGGCGCCCTCCTCGCAGCCCACGCCGCCTCGGGGCTTGCTGCTGGCCACTTCCTCGAGGGAGTGCGCCTTCTGCGAGCGGCCGAGGGCCTGCTGCGCGCTGCGGTGGCGGCCTTGCGCTGCCGCCCTGCCGCGCCCCCGCGAGCTGGCGCCGCGCCCCCTCCGAGGCGGCGGCGGCGCGGGCGTCGCGGTCGAGGTGCGGCCGAGGCGGACGTCGGGATGGACGTCGAGGCTCCCTCCGAGCCGCCCGCGGAGGACCCCCCGCCTGAGCCCGCCCTCGGGGCTCGGCGGCGGCGGCGCCGCGTGAAGCCTCCCCGTGGGGCTGGGGAGGAGGAGGGGCGAGGAGGTGGCGGTGGTGGAGGCGCTGGCACGGCGGCGGTGGCGATCGGGGGAGGGCCCGACGCTAGGGCTGCCGTGGGGCTTGGCGCCCACGCCGATGCTTCCGCGGCGGAGGCGGTCGTGGTTGGCGGCGGCGAAGGAGCTGGAGCGGCGCGCATGGGCCTCGTGCCCGTGCTTGCACCTGCGGCAGCCGCCGCCGCGGACGGCGACGACGCGATGAGCGACCTGAACGATGAGTGGGCCGACGCGCCCCCCGCTCGGCTCGCCAGGCCACCTCCGCAGCCGCTGAGCCCAGCCCCAACGGCGGTTTCAGCGCTGGCCGAGCAGCTGGCGGAGATCCTCGAGTCACGCGAGAGCATGCTGTTCATGCTCCGTGATCGGTCTTCGAACCTGGCTGCTGACGAGCGGCGCTGGGCCCTCCTGGGCGACGATGGCCTTCGGCGCGTCTTGCTCCAGGCGCTGGGGCTGCAGCGGCCCGCCGAGTCGGCGTCAGCCCCGCGGGGCGAGTCGGCGTGAGGCGCCCCTACGGGGAGAGCTCCTAAGGGGGAGCACGCGGCGGCGGCGGCAGCTGGGCGCTCCTCGTCGCCGCGTTTTGCGTTGGTTATCCGTGCGATGCCATCGGGCTGCGTGGGGCGAATCGCATTCCCCACGGGCCCCCCTAGGGAGGCGCCCTGGGAAGGCCCCTGGGCGCTTCTGCGAGGGCAGAGCGTGCTGGGGGTTTCATAATATTCTAGAATATTATTGCTCTGGTGCTTTCTGGTCCTGCCCAGGGGCTCCAAAGCGGCCCATGTGGGCTCGTTGGCACAAGCCACGGCCAGTTGCTCATATGCTGCTGGACGTGCGCCCCTGAGGTCCCGACACACACACACACACACTTTTTTTCGTAAGTGGCGAGGCGTCGAAATCCGCGCCAGCGTAACAGCTAGGTCGGGGCACGAACTGGCGAAGTGGCCGGCGTGCCAGGAGGGAGTGGACGTCCGAGCGGAGCGATGGCGAGGCCCCGAGGCAGCGCGAAAGGGCCCCAAAAGATCACCAGGGTCACCGCGAGGGAGGTCCACGAGGATTCCAACAGCCCCCCCCCTTTCCAACAGAGACACTCAAATCGGGGGCCCAGGCTGGCAAGGAGTTTCATTTGTACCCTGCACGGGGCCCCAGGAGGGCCCCAAATGCCCCAAGACGCGCGTCCAAGCCGGTCCCAACATGATGAACAAGTATCACAAGGGCGCATGTCATTGCAAAACGACATCTCTAGATCCAGGCGTGGCTCAACACAAATTTTCGTCCATGCCTCGTCCTTCGAACCGCGTTCGCCAGGCGTCCACCGCAACATACTGCCAGCTACCTCCACTCCAAAGGCAAGGGCTGCGGAACGGACTTCCTGGCAACTGGCGCACGGCAGCTTCGTGTCGTGTCGACGCGGCGGCGACCTCGACGGGGGCGCTCAAGGTGGAACGCCGCCAGTGGTTCGCCATCGGCCGATGTCAAGCGATCTTGCGCGATCGGGAGTCCTCATAACGCTCAAAGTCGAACGATCCTCGCGGCGTCAGAGACCAACGCCGACGCCGTCACGGCCCGAGCTTGCCGCAGGGGGCTGGATCAACTCTCCCCCGGGGCATGCAGGAGTTAGGGAGAGGAGATGGAATGATGTGCCATCTTCGGAAACTGCCGCATATACATTACCAGTGGCGGGCCGCTTTTCAGTCCCAGGATTTTGTTTTCGAGGGTCGAGGGCGACGTCTGAGTCGTGTGGTGTATTCTTTATTCCAGCTCCTGGGAGAACAGGATCCCGTATACACTAGGATCCGCTCGCCTGTGCAAGAGTCCGCGCAGGGCCGGAATCTGCCGCCCAATCAGGGGCAACGATAGGGGGGGGATAGGCACAGGGGGGGCAGCATCGACCCCCGATCGCCCATTGATCGCCGATGGGGGCCCGATAGGACCAACACGCCCAGGAAGGTGCGGACTCACCATCGTGGGGCTATCGCCGATCTATCGTCGATTCCGGGTCGATGCATCCCCCCCTATGCAAGGCCCCCCTTACAGTAGGGGTCTTGAAGAAAGAACCCTTTTCGTTGGGGAGGGGCTCGGTGTTCCCTGATTGTTTCAAAGTTTGCCTCGGGTTTCCCTAAGGTCTTCCGCAGGAAACCGAGGTTGAACTTATGGGAAAAAGGGGCCCCGTTCCCTATCCAGGGTTCCCTAGGTCAACGCCCCTACTGTACCGCTGCCCCCCCCCCCCCCACGCAAGCTCCCTCTCCACCCCGTGCTTCGCTCCCTCCCTGGATCGCGATCCGCGATCTGTCCACGGCAGGGCCCCCTGGATCGCTCCTCTGCCCCCCCGGATCGCTCCTCTGTCCCCGTGCTTCGCTCCCTCCCTGGATCGCTCCTCTGCCCCCCCGGATCCGCGATCTGTCCACGGCAGGGCCCCCCCCCTGGAGCCTCCGTGCTCCTCCCCTCTGGGGCTTCTGCTGCGGGCCGCCTCGGCGATGGGCCCCGGGGCCCAGCCTGCGCCCCCCCGGGAGTCCAGATCTGGGCCCCCCTCCTCCTCCTCCTCCTCCTCCTCCTCCTCCTCCTCCTCCTCCTCCTCCTCCTCCTGCTCCTCGTCCTCCTGCTCCTCGTCCTCCTGCTCCTCCTCCTCCTCCTCCTCCTCCTCCTTCTCCTCCTCCTACTCCTCCTCTTCCTCGTCTTCCTCCTCCTCCTCCTCATTCCCCCTCCTCCTCCACCTCCTCCTCCTCCTCCTCCTCGTCTTCCTCCTCCTCCTCCTCTTCCTCACCCTCCTTGTCCTCCTCCTTCTCCTCGTCCTCCTTCTCCTCCTCCTCCTCCTCCTCCTCCTCCTCCTCCTCCTCCTCCTCCTCCTACCGGTCCGAAGCTGAAGTCGGGGGGAGTTCGGATTCGGGAGGGGTCTGCTGTTCCTTGGGACCGTCCATGGTTGTTCCCTCTTGTGCGTCTCGTACGCCCTGCTGCTTTGGGGGCCAGCAGGGAGCTTCGTCATGCAATAGCGTGATTGCTGTACTCTTCCTTCTTCTCCTTTGGCCCCTCCTCTCGTCGAGGTTGTTTTTTTTGGGTCTGGCGGTAGCCCGAGTGATGAGGCTGGCCCCCCGCCCCGCCCCCCAGAGGTCCTCACCCTGTCCGTTGAGCAGGTCCAGACACATCCCTCGGCATTCCCAGACGGCGACCGCATCGTCGCAGCACGAATGCATCGTCGCAGCACGAATAGCAACATTGCCGCAGCATCGCTAGCAGCCGTTGGGGCCGCAGCACAAGTGCGCGTGGGAAGATGTGGGGCTGCCCGCAGCGCGAAGTCTAGGTTATCGGCCGGCCCACCCCCCCCACCTTCGGACATCCTGGGTCCATTGTCGCCGATCCAACAAAAAATGCAGCCTCTTCCTCCTCGGATGTTTTGGCGTCCTGTGGCAGTCCGGTAGTTGGTCGCCCGGGAGGGTGGTGGGGATCTCTGGCCTTGCTGTGGGACGGGGAGCCTGCGCCGCTGGCTCTTGTCTGCCGGGAGGATGTTGTCTGAGGGAGGCAGGAGCGACCAAAACACCACCGCCAGCGAGCCACCTCAGGCAAGGACGTATCCACGGTGCCTCCCCAGAGTTTGGAGACCCAGACATGATCGCGTCGTTAAAAAAATCAGGACGGGAGGCTTTTGGCCATTTTCGGCCTCGGGGGGCCCTCGCCGGGCCTCGGGGCCGGCAAACAACGACGCAGGATGAAAGTCTGGTCCCGGGTAAGAGGTCGGGACTTCCAGGGACCCCGTCCTGAAAAATCAGGACGTCGCAAGTCTGGGATCCAATGTAGCCGAAAATATTATAGGGACGGCTTCTCGATTATCCTTGATTATATGTCTTAAATATGTTTGGCATTTTTTTGTTTCTCCAAAATTTGCCTGAATGGGAGGACATGCCCGACCTAACTCTTGCCTGGGGTGTCGCTCCTGCGTGTGTGGGCCGGTACAGTCAACTCCCTGAGGAAAGGACCCCTTCGGGCTCGAGAGGGACTGCGGTTTTCGGCCCAAGAGGGCGCCAAGCCGGCCCCAAGAGAGCCCCATGCTAGAGGGCCCAAAGAGGCTCCCGAGAGGGCCCGAAGGGGCAGTGTGGGGACTGGGCTGCTTGGGTGTGGGGACTGGGCTGGCCCCAAGACGGCCCAAGAGTCCCAAAGCGGCCCTCCAGAGGACCCCCGAGAGGGCCTCCGGAGGCCAAAGACACCGATTTGCCTCCAGTGTTTGCAGGTTTCTCGGCTTCGCGTTTTCTTCGGGCCCGGGACGGGGGAACTTGTGGGTGACCAGGGCTCGCCGTGGCCAGGGGGAGCCTCTTCCGTTCTCTTCCTGCAGCCCTGCATGGTGCCGCGACGGCTGCAGGAGGAGGGGCCCAGTGAAATCCCGAGGGCGCGAATCTGTACAGTGGAGACCCATGCCAAGAAACACCCTGCTTGCCTGCAGGGTGCCCTGACTTTCTTGGGTTGTGACAGCTTTGCAGCTTTGCAGTGAAAAAAGCGCGACGTTCCCACGCCAAGAATCAGGGGACGTCCTGGGGTCTCAGGGTTGGGTTTCTTGTGGGTGGTGCCTTGCCTTGTAGACTGACCTCCACTGTATGGTGTCACGACGGCTAGAGGAGGAGGAGGAGGAGGAGGAGGAGGAGGAGGAGGAGGAGGAGGAGGAGGAGGAGGAGGAGGAGGAGGAGGAGGAGGAGGAGGGAGGAGGAGGGGGAGGGGCCCAGATACATCCCAAGGGCGCGGAGCCGCGCCGCGCTCCGCGCGGGGCGGCCTGGGCCAGCGAGAGGTGCATAATTGTCCGTCTTCGGGGGGGAATGCCGCGAGCCCGCGAGGCGCGAGGGAAGGGCCAGGTCGGGCCTGTCTCCCTGCAGGCGGATCTTGGACGACACATAAAAAATACAAACCATACCCCAACATGGTCAAACAATACTTTAAACATATTCCCCAGATAATGTAACATGCAACATGCAACATGCCCAAACATACCCCAACATGGTCAAAGAACAATGCTCCGAACATCGCCCCCAGATCGTGTTTTACTATTTTTGAGTACTCCCCCGGTAGAGAGACAGGCCCGACTCGGGGTTGGGGACAAGCGCACGGATCGACAAGGACCTATCGTCGGAGATCTGAGCCCAGGCAGGATCGCGTCGCTTTGGGCCAATCTCGGCCTCGGGGGGCCCTCGCCGGGCCTCGGGACCGTCAAGAGCCGACTCAGGATGAGAACACCGGTCCCGGGAAAAGGGTCGTGTCTTCCGGGGACGCCGTAGTGAAAACATCAGGGCATCGCATGTCTGGGGAGGACGGCTCCTGCCGCGGCGGCGGCCGCGAGGCGTCTCGCAAGAGCGCCAGGCGCCGCCGTCGCCGGGGTGGGCGCCCGCGCCCCGCAGGTCTGGCTGGTGGGACGGTCCCGTGCGGCCCTCCGCTGCAGAGCGCTGGCGCGCCCCGCGGTGTGGGGGGGGGTCGGCCGGCTGTGAGCACCGCGTCGCGCGCTGCCGCTGCTGCGCCACGGGGCGAAGGACGAACGGCGGCGGCGGCGAGGGAGGACGAGGGAGGAGGTGGTGGGGGAGAAGGGGGAGGCAGGAGAGGGCATGGGAGGGGGAGGAGGAGGAGGAGGAGGAGGAGGAGGAGGAGGAGGAGGAGGAGGAGGAGGAGGAGGAGGAGGAGGAGGAGGAGGAGGAGGAGGGGGAGGAGGAGGAGGGGGAGGAGGAGGAGGAGGAGGAGGAGGAGGAGGAAGAGGAGGAGGTGGAGGAGGGCCATCGAGTCTGACTGAAAAGGATTACTTTGGAGGACTGTCGACTGCGTCGTGCCTCTGACACCTGCGGCGCCTCTTGGATTACCGTTTCGAGAGGTGTGGAGGGTAGCTCTATCCTCCCCACTCGTCTTGCCGCTCTTGGAATGGTGGCAGGTTCTTCAATCGGTGAAGGCTGCAGCGCTGGCATTACTGGGAAAGGAGTGTGGGCAGGGCTTCTTGAAGCCTCTGGCCAAATCGTTCCGTTTCTGGAAGGGCCTTGTTCTTTCAGAACCCGCCATCTATGCTGAATAGGTTCCGCAGTTGCGAAGCCAAAGACCCGACTCTGTAGTGAGTCGGCCAGTGACGTCCGTGTATGGCCAGCGCGTTGCCCCAAAAGCCGGGAAGAGGCCAATCAGTGGCCCGTGTGTACGGTAGGTTTGCGTCGTGTCGACCAGCGGCGACCCCAGCGTGGGCATTCAAGGTTGAACGCCGCTGGCGACCCAGAATCGATCGACGTTGAACGATCGGACGTTGCGGCAGCGGCCGATCGTTCAAGGTTGAACGATCCCTGCGGTGTCAAAAACCAACGCTGGGGTCGACACGACACGAACCTGCCGTATCTCTGCATCGCGGCGGGCCTCGGGACGTCGGGCTGCAAAGGCGAGTCCTGCAGAGGTCGCACGTCCATCTGCCCCGTGTCGCCCACAGTCACTGGCAAGTCCGCTCTGTATGTGTCGGCCGTCCTGAGGAGGAGCGCCAGGTTCGTTCCCATGACCCGCAGGAGAAGGGGGCGGAAAGCTGCCACAGGGCGATCTATGGCAGGAGGCCTCGCCGCAGGCTTCCCACCCCTGCTCGGGGGCGACGGTGAGCCTGGCGAGCCATCCTTGAGCAAGGAACCGAAGAAGCCCGATCCGGAACTCGCGGTCGGAGCGAGAAGCCTCGACTTCTGCATCGGCGCACCTCTGTTCCCCCCCCTCGTTGGAGCCGCGGATGTGGCGGCCTGGTCGGCCATTTCCTTTCCAAGGGCTTGGTATCTGGAGCAGGGGTGCAGGCTATCCAGGTCTCGGTGGGCTTCTCCTTCGCACGTGGCGGCAAGGGCCCCTCCTGCGTTCTGGCGCTTCGCGTGCGGCACTCCACTTGCGCACACAGTTGTCCCGCCGCAGACAGGAATTGGGAGTCCATTCCGATTGCCCCGAGGTGGTCCGAATGCATGCCGCCGAGCGCGGGCAACAGTCAGCGGCCGACGGCGAGGTGCCCAGTGGCAGGGGGATCGAGCAGAAAACTCTCTCTGATGCCTCGCGCAGCCTCGCGCGGGAGCAGCCCGCCCGCGCCGCAGGGGCCTCCAGGGCCCGCTGCCTCCGCCACGGGGAAGAGGCGGCCCCCTGCGCCCACTTCGCTGCGCCCCGGGTGAAGCGAATACTTGCAGGGAGTACTTCGACAGGCCTCCCGGGTTGCTTCCCAGTGCCCAGCCCGTGCTTCCAAGGGCCGCGGTCATAAAGCCTTTCTCCGGACGTTGGTTGCTACTTCGAGAGGGCCGCCACTGTTTGGACAGAACTTCTCACCCGAGCCCCACCTCTTCGGAGCGTTCAGCGAAATTGGAGAACGTACACTAGCGGAGTTGTGCTAGGGTGCCCTGCTGGAGATTGCGTCGCTAGTTTCTAGAAGCCCGGGGATTCAATATGATGTCACCACGTGGCCCGACGACGATGAGAGAGGGCCGACCCCACTGAGAATGCGAGTCGAATCACATCGCCGGAAAGTGAGGAGCTCACCAGACGCACTGAGTCACACTCACGCAGGGTCCAGCTCCTCAATCGTTTTACCACCGTCATGCTCTTGCATGCACGCGCAATTCCCGCTCCTGAAACAGAGTTGGATACCGACGCCAGCGTAGGCCATAAAGCATGTTGCACGTCGTGCGAGTTCAACTTCGATTGACCTCACCCGCGCACACCTATCAAGATCCTGGATACGCACTGCCGACGCCCACCTCGGCCACAGTTTTCGACAGCAAGGGCAGATGACGCACTCTCGTTTCGGGAGCCACCCAGGTGCGACAACGAGTCAACGGCCACAAGCATGATAATTGTTGGCACGATTGTTGTGGTGGTGGCGGTGATGGTGTGTGTGTGTGTGTGCGTGTGCGTGTGTCTGTGTCTGTGTCTGTGTCTGTGTCTGTGTCTGTGTGTGTTTGTTGCTCCTTTCTCTCAACCACCCTCTCTGTCTCTGTATCCCCTCAATCTCTTTTTCCCTCTCTCCCACTCTCGTTCTCTCTTCCTCCCTGTTTTCTCCATGTTTGGTATTGCGGCGTCTTTTTTACGACGCGGGCCTCGACGACATGACGAGAGCCTCCAACTACAAGATAAATACGAACATGAGATGCCCGCGCCTCCCGCTTTCGCTCGCCAATCGCTTTCGCTCGCCTCTCGCCTTCGCTCGCCTCGCGCGTGTGCTCGCCTCCTACTTTCGCTCGCTTCCTACTTTCGCTCGCCTCCTGCTTTTGCTCGCCTCCAGCTTCGTTCGCGGGAGGCGATCGCGGGCCAGGACGGCCCAAGATGGCCCCAAGACGACCAGGGGCCGTCAGGACGGCCCGAGCGAGACCCAATATGGCCCTCAGAAGGGCTCAAGAAGGTGAACACGAATTGACATACCGAGCCTTTCCCGCCAAGACGGTCCCAAGAGCCTTCTAGAGGCCCTCCAGGCGCCCCCAAGAGGCCCCAAGAGGCCTCCAAGAGGCCTCCAAGAAGCCCCCAAAAGTCCCCCGAGGAGCCCCGGAAGCCCACATGTGCCCCCAGGAGCCCTCTAAGATGCCACCCCGTAGCCCCGCATATGCACCCACGGGGCTCCTGACACACTAGTTCACGTCAGCGATCGCACCCACTTGGTCTGTTAAGACGCTCCATCTCGTGGGCGGTGTTTTGAAAGATGCTACACCTACGCATTCCCGACGGGCCTGTTCAGAGAGTCGGCGTTTTGATGTGTTCGAATCGGGCTTCCTAACTGAAGTTTCGCTCGCACTCTGTGCTGCGACCTTTGGCAAGTCGAGTGGCTCCTTCTGGGCGAGACACGCTTGTGGCGGTGCACCCCGCGCTGCGGCCTTTTTGCGTGGAGTTCGTCCGGAAATGGTGCGGGGACACACAGAGGAAGAAGCGTGGAAGGGGAAGGGCAAGGGCTCGGGCGAGGAGCTGGAAGGGGGGAAAGGCAGCTGCGAGCGCAAGGGCGAGAGCGAGGAGCTGGAGGGGGAAGGGTGGGCGAGGGCGAGGGCGAGGGCGAGGAGGAGGGCGAGAAAGATGGAGCAGCGAGGAGCTGGAGCGGGGGACGGGCGAGTGCGAGGGTGCGGAGGAGAACGGTGGGGGCACATGGCCATGCGAGGGGCCCCTCCAGAGAGCGAGGAGGGGCCGCAGAGCGCGGGCGGCAGGCACCCCAGGGCCCTGAGGTCCGACCTCTGCACAGCCACTGCGGCACCCTCGCGGGAGAACACACAACTGCAGAGCCCTGGACCCCTTCTGTCCCTGCTGCACATCTCGAGCCGAGTCGATGAGTGATGGTCCCAGGGCCCCCTGAAAGCGGGCGAATATTCCGACGCCCTCATCTCAGGGCGCGTCGGGCACAGCAGGGGAGGCGGTCGAGGCACTGCCGGGCGCGGCGCTCGTACCCAGACATGCGACGTTGATGGGCCTGTTTTCCACCACCACCTTAAGTTGGAGGGGGAGGAGGAGGAGGAGGAGGAGGAGGAGGAGGAGGAGGAGGAGGAGGAGGAAGAGGAGGAGGAGGAGGAGGAGGAGGAGGAAGAGGAGGAGGAGGAGGCGGACCCCCTCCCCCTCCAACTTACGGTGGTGGCGGTGGAAATCAAGCCCACCATTTTGTTTTTGTTCAATGCGGGGTCCCCGGAAGTCCCGACCCTTTCCCCGGGGCCGTCGTTCGTCCTTGATTCATTGTTTGCCGGCCCCGAGGCCCGGCGAGGGCCCCCCCGAGGCCGAAATTGGTCCAAAACTTCCCGTCCTGATTTTTATTTTTTTTGCGACGCGATCAGTTCTGGGTCCGCCTCGCCGCCGACGGACAAAAAGCGTGGGCACGGGCAGGATCGGCTGCGCGTTAGAGAGGAGGAGGAGGGGGAGGAGGAGGAGGAGGAGGAGGAGGAGGAGGAGGAGGAGAAGGAGAAGGAGGAAGGCACAGAAGGGGAGGCGGTCGAAGCACTGCCGAGAGCGGCGCTCGTAGCAGGCTTCCCCCCCGTGCGGCCCCGCAGGCTTTCTAGCGAGCTCAGCGGCGACGGGTGGGCGGACGGCGCTCGCCCAGGGCCTAGCTTCGGGGCCTAGCTACCGCTGGCCCCCCCTCCGGCGCTGTCGTACAGGGGGTGTTTCCTTGCGAGACCATCGGGGGCCCCCAAACGGGGTGGTGACCACACCGTGTGGTGAGTCGGTGGGGATTCGGGGTCACCGCACGGTCTGTGGACGTGTGTCGTTCTCCAAGGATGTCTCGGGCGACTGGGGCCTCCAGGGTCCCAAGAGCGTGTATGGAAACTGAACTGGGGCTGCCAGTCCTCGAAAACCAGATGGCTTAGCCAGCAAGGCCGGCCCAGCGATGAACATCATCAGGGCCACATAAGATCCCATTGGCGCCACAATCGGCCAGCTGATCAGCTCGTTCGTTTAAATCTTGCCCAGTGTGGCTTTCCTCATTTCTGAAGACAATATGAGAAGCAACCGACCCTGCGATGAGGTCTTTGCGGATGCGAGGTCACCGCCGGGTCTGTCGCCACATGGTGTTGGGACGCCCCCAAGATCGGCACGAGGCGAGCGTCTGGAGGGCAAAGGCCGTGGCCTCCCAGGTGGGGCCCGAGTAGATGGGGTCGGAGGATGTCGCCGCATCGCCGATGCATCGGCGATGCGGATTGACATGGAGCCCGATTTACGTCACGCCGAAGTCGCCGATACATCGCCGACGTCGCCGACACATCGGCGGTGCATCGGCGATGTGGCGCGATCCTCCTACCCCATCTACTTGGACGTCATCCGGGAGGTCATTCAGAGGGCCCGAGAGCTGGGGAGGACTTCGCAGTTCGGTCCTCCGTCGTCAGGTGACCCTCCTCGCGCATTTCTGAAGCAAGTTTGCTTGACCAAGCACAGATAAGCATCACGTTCGATGTTCTTTTGCGGGACCTGCCTCGGGCCCACCTGACAGATTCGACCGACGTTACTTCGAAAATGTGCCAACTCTACTTCGAATCTGGCTCGGCTCAAGTCAGTCTCAAGTTCGAGTCAAGCTCAATTCAAGTCGATGGACGTTTGACGCAGCATCGATGCATGAGCGGAGCGAGCGGCTCCAGGAAGGTCCCCAGAACGAGCATGTGAATCGTGGATTTGGTTAGATGATGCGGTTGCCACGCCCGTGCTATGAGCAGCGGGCACTGGCTGTTTGGCACGGAGGTCGCATGCAGGTCAGCCAGTTGCCGTGTGTTTGGTGCTGGGGCCTCGATGCCTTGCGAGATCTCCACGGACCAAGTGCCTGGGCCACAGGAGGGGCGTGCCCGCCGTCCGTACGAGATTCGCCCGCTCAGGGTGCGATTTTTAGTATGGAGTTGGACTGCGCTCACCGTCTGCTGGAATATTCGGTCCACCTGAGGCTCTTGGGCGGTCCTTCCCCTCCGTTGCCAGGAACCTCGTTTCCCTCCCTTCTCCTCCATTGTAATATATTGTCTCCTGGGGCTTTCTGGACACTCCCCGAGAATGCCCCACGAATGTGTCTTGCAGGGCAGCTTTCCGCCCAGGTAGAGGAGATGCTGCTTCTTGGTGAGAGGGCACGGTGAGGTCAAAGCGGATCGATGACCGATACGCCCAGACCTCGACAAGCCACGACAGAAGAGCTGACGAGCAGCCTTACCCAACACTCGTTTCTTGGGTTGGGCCATTGCTTTTCTCTCAGGACTGCGCCTTGCGCCCGCAACATCCTTCGTTTCCTCTTGCCTCCCCATCTCCCCCTCCTCTCACCCTCCTCTCTCCTGTCTCCGCCCTCCTCCCTGCCTCATTCCACCTTTCTCTTCCTCCTTCCCCTCCATTCATCTTTCCTCCTCCTCATCCTCTTCCTCCTCCTCCTCCTCCTCTTTTTCCTCCTCCTGTTCCTCCTTCTCCTTCTGCTCCTCTTCCTCCTCCTCCTCCTCCTTGTCCTCTTCCCTTCTACGCTGGGTTCCTCCTCCTCCTCCATCCTTCTACTTCGAGCATCCTTCGAGCATCCTTCCTGCATCCTGCCTTGCATCCCCTCTCCCCGTCCTCCCCCGCCTGCCCATCCACTCCAGTGGGCGCGATCGCACGCGCTGCCACCACACAGTTCGGCATGCCCTTCGTTCCTCTCAAGAAGGAGTTTCGCCCACAGTCTCAGCGGTCGCGATCGTATGCTCTACCGCCCTCCTAGTTCGGCACACCGCCCACACGCTTCGTCCACGAAGGAGGTCCTACCACGGTCTCACTGGGCCGCATGTGCCAGCATCCTCCACTTCGGCGCATCCCTCACACGTTCCGTGCCCCCCCGGGAGCCTGATTTACGGGCCCCTCGAGTAACTCCCCCCACGGTGTCATTGGGCGCGATCGCATGCGTTACTCCGGAGAGTACCCCCCTCCCCATTACGGCGCACCCCACATTTCCAGCGAGGGGGCCCACGATGCCTCCCCAGGTTCGGGGTCGAGATGGGGGATGCCTCGAGCGAGAGGGGGGACCCACGCCCCCAGAAGTGCACTCCCTGCCGCCTCGCCCTGGTGGGAGGAGGAGGAGGGAGGAGAATGAGGAGGAGAATGAGGCGGAGAATGAGGAGGATAATGAGGAGGAGGAGGAAGAGGAGGAGGAGGAGGAGGAGGAGGAGGAGGATGCGGAGGAGGAGGAGGAGGAGGAGGAGGAGGAGGAGGAAGAGGAAGAGGAAGGAAGAGGAGGAGGAGGAGGAGAGGAGGAGGAGGAGCAGGAGGAGGAAAAGAGTAGGAGGAGGAGGCGGAGGAGGAGAGGAGGAGGAGGAGGAGGAAGCGGAGGGAGGTGGAGGCGGAGGCGGAGGCGGAGGCGGACGAGGAGGAGGAGGAACAGTATGAGGAGGAGGAGGAGGAGGAGGAAGAGCAGGAGGAAGGAGGAGGAGGAGGAGGAGGAAAAGGCGGAGGAGGAGGAGGAGGAGGAGGAGGGGGGGTGGCGGAGGAGGAGGCGGGGGCGGAGGAGGAGTAGGACGAGGAGAAGGAGGAAGATGAGAGGAGGATGAGGAGGAGGAGGAGGAGGAGGAGGAAGAGTAGGAGGAGGAAGCGGAGGAGGCGGAGGAAGAGGAGGCGGAGTCGGATGCGGATGAGGAGGCGGAGGAGGAGGCGGAGGCAGAGGAGGAGGAGGAAGAGTAGGAGGAGGAGGAGGACGAAGATGACGAGGAGGAGGAGGAGGAGGACGATGAGGAGGAGGAGGAGGAGGACGAGGAGGAGGAGGAGGAGGAGGAGGAGGAGCGGGCATGTGCTGCATGCCGCCTGCTGGCCGCATGCGGCCGCCCGCGAGTTGGTGCACCGCACGCGAGGCTCGGAGCACTGGGCCGGCGAGTTCGACGAGGACCCGTACGACTTCTCCGAGAGGCAGTGGCACACACGGCAGCTGGGGGGCGTCAGCCATGCAAGCCTGCACTGGCCCCAGGAAAGGGGAAGATACCGATACCGTTGCCCTTCCCTCGCTGGATGCGACGACTCCATTACCCTTCTCTTTTGCCTACGCAGCCTCTGCATCGGCATCTGCAGATGTATTCCACAGCGCTCCACGACTTCGTCGCCACGGCTGGATTCGCCTCGAGCTGCTGGTCAGCTCGCGCCCCTGGAGAACTCTCGGGAGCAGCGGCACCGGTACCTTCCTGTCCCCCCCCAGGGTCTGGGCAGGGCGAAGTCTGGGGCCCGGGATCTGTGGTGACGCCGTTCTGTCCGAGCCAGGACGGCGTTCTGGCCGACCTCCAGGCGTCCGACGATGTGGCTCTTCGCAGTGCGCGGGCCCAGAGATCCCGATCCTGTCCCTGGGGGAGGTTCCGCGTCCCGCATACGTTTGTGATGGCCCCGGGGCCCGACGACGGGCCCGTGGGCTCGAAATCGAGGAAAACGCCCGGATTTGAAAGCACCGCATCGTCAGAGGTCTTTGGGTCCTGGGCCAAGGGGTGGGCCTGGCCAGGTGCTGTGCAGGCGGCACGCGTGACGCCCTCCCAGGCAAGACCTCCCGGAGAGCCCTGAGGAGATCCTGGTGGTTAGGACTCCGGGCTCCGGTCTTTTCGCTCTCTTATTTTTTGTTCTCTCTCTCTCTCTCTCTTTCTCTCTCTTTATCTCTGGAGCTGCGCGGGCTTCTCCGAGGCCTGCTGGTTCGCAGATAAGTTGCGGGTCCGCCACCCAGTTTTTGGATTCGACCCGGGCGCTTCCTGGCAAACGGATTCTTCTAGTGGGAACACTCGGCCTTGCCTCACCTCCTGGAGTAGTTGTTTTCAATGTTGGGTTGCCCTTCAAGGTTCGTTTGTCACAGGCGCTACCAGGGGCAGCCAAGGCATAGGAGACCAGAGGTCGGTCCCAGCTTGCGCCTGTCACCCCTTTGCGCACGTATGTCGTGTTTAACGGCAGATGTGGCATGGCGCTGTTGCAAACGCCACGAGGGGCGTTACGCTCTGTGGCGACATTCCTCGAGTGGCGCTTAAGCGCAAGACCTTCTCGCAACCTCTTGTCTCGTCCTGCTCCAGAGCGGGCCAATCGCCCGCGCAGCAGCCAATCGTAGGCACACGGCATCTCTCGCGGGCGCTTGCACCTCGCGTGCGTGCGCATTCGCACCGAAGCAACTACTAGGGGAACTGACAGTGGCATAAACATACAATCTCGGAGGTCCGCGCGGATTTCTTGGATCCGCGGTGGTCCCCCTCCATGGCGCGTGGAGCGCGCCAGGGGCGGCGCCAGAAGCGCCGCCAGGGCGGTCCAGCGCCGATCCGAGAAACACGCGCGGACCTCCGAGTTTTTATGTTTTCCAAAATCGTCAGAGATTCGTATGGGGACGATTCGATTGATATTTTTTTGATTATTTCTGGACGTTTTTATTATGTTGTTTTTCGTCAAATAAACGCCTGTAGGAGGACATGCCCGACATGAGGAGAGCCCTCGTCGCCACGTGTGCATTCTCCACGCGGAGTAGCGGTATCAGTATGCTTGCCTCAGCCGCCCAAGCATGCACAGGGGACACCTCACGAATTCTGGGCACACACTTCTGAAACCTGCGGGGCGCTCCAGATAGCGCTTCTTTTTCGAGGGATCGAGATGTTTGAGAGAGCGTTTCCTACAACTATTGGCAAGCCCCCTCCCCTGACTGGAAGGGAAGGGGGGGGGTAAAGTTCCCCCCGCCTCCGAACCAGGAGGGGGGGAGGGGGGAGAAGAGGGACACACCCTCCCCTCTCCCCCTTCCCCGTTCAAACCAGTGGGGGGAGGGGGGAGAGGAGACCCCCTTTTCCTGGTTCGAACGCGAGGCGGGGGGTGGCCCCGGCCCCACGGGAGGGGGAAGACGGGGGGGAGAACCCAGTTCCCCCGCCCCACCTTCCCGGTGCAAACCCGTGGGGGGAGGGGAGAGGATCGAGACCCTTTTTCCTGTTTCGAGCGCGAGGCATGCCCTGGAAGACACATCTAAAAGTAATAGATGCGTCTAGATGCGATCGCGCCCTGGCGCAGGCGAGAAGCCCATCGTATGGCGACAATATAGATATTACCTTGAGAGGCGCGCCCCCGGCCTGCGCGGGAGCGCCACCGTATCTCCTGGGGCCGGGGCCGCCCCCTGCAGGGGGCGGCCCCGCCCCCGGGCGATGCCCCCAACCCCGGGCCTCAGAGCCCGGCCCTGGCTTGCCCCAGCCGGCCCCGGGCCCCAGCCGGCCCCAGGCCCCGCCTGGCCCCCGTCGCCGCTGCCGTTGCCTGGAGTCGGGCACGTCCCTCCACAGGAGAGGCATTTGAGAATAGTTGAAAGATGGTGTGAGGATTTTTGTTTTCTGCCAGTGTTTGAATATTTTTGGCAATGTTTGAACTCTCTTGAATTTGTCGCCCAAAATCCGCCTGTAGGGGGACATGCCCGACCTAACCGTTGCCGTGTCCGTCGTCCTGGTCGTCGTGGTCGTCGTCGTCGTCGTCGTCGTCGTCGTCGTCGTCGTCGTCGTCGTCGTCGTCGTCTTCGTCGTAAGCTCAAAGAAAGCTCCACCAAAGCTGAAGCAAAACTCAAACAAAACTCCGCCAAATCTCGTACAAAGCTCCGTCAAATCTCGTACAAGGCTCACGCGAAACTCAAACAACGCTCAAACAAGTTCAACCAATAATCAAGCAAAGCTCAAACAATGCTGACACCATTCCTTTACACAGAGCGCAAAACAAAGCAAACACAAAGCGTAAAAACAGCTTAAGCAAATGCCAGGCACTTCTCCAACAAGGCTCCAACAAAGTTCAGGCAAAGCTTCAACCGAGCTCCAAAAATGCTCAAACAGAGCTCGAGTCCGCGCGGGCGTGCTCGGCAAGTGGGGCAAGTAAAGCAAGTCGGGCGCATTTCGAATGTTGGCGCACGACGTCGCCCTTCTCGCACAGTTGCCTGGCCCCCCCTCCCGGGCATCCACGGGGGGCCTCTGAGGTCGTCATGACGATGATGATAGTGATGATGATGATGATGCTGATGATGATGATGATGATGATGATGATGATGGTGATGATGATCATGATGATCATGATGATGATGATGATCATGATGATGATGGTAACGTGGATGGTGGTCGTGGTGATGATGGTGACAATGATGACGACGCCACATCATTGAATGAAGGTTTGTCTTAAAGTCCCGCACAACCGGCTGGTTTCTTTTGCGGTGGTGATGTATGTTTACCCATTTTTGTCCCATCGAAGAGTGGAGGTTGCATTTATGTGCCATCCGTCGCCGTCGCCATCGCCGTCGCGGTCGCCGGTTCCGTCGTCGTCGTCGCAAGCTCAAACAGATCTCGAACAACATTCGAAGAAAGTTCAAACCAAGTTCCAACAAGGCTCAATCAAAGCTGAACCATAGCTCAAACGAAGTCCACACAAAGCCAACGCAAAGCTCAAACAAAGCTGAAGCGAAGCTCAAGCACAGCTCAAGCAATCAGCAAACAAAGCTTAACCAACGCTAGGACAAAAGTCAAACAACTGCCAAACAACGTCTAAACAAAGCTCGGACCAAGCTCCAACAATGCTCGAACACATTTCAAACAACTACCAATCAAAGCTAGACTCGCGCGGGGGGCGCGGCATGTGGTGCAAGTGAGGCAAGTGGGGCGCACGTCGAATGGTGGCGCATGACGTCGCCCTTCTTCGCCCAGGCCCCAGCCGGCCCCAGCCCCGGGTTTCCAACCAGGGAAAGGGGGAGGGGGGAGATTCTGCCCCCCCCCCCGCCCCGTTTCCAGGCAGGGACGGTGCCCCCCCCTCCCCAGGCTCCCAAGGGGGGGGGGGGGAAGTTCACCCACCCCCCACTGTCCAGGAGGGGGGGGTGAGGGGGCAATTCTCCCAGTCAAGCAACGGTGGATCGCGTTCCCCCAGATGTTCGCATCTCCTCCCCTGCGGAAGGCGCTGGAAGGCCCGCGGATGTTGTCGGAAGGAAGCGGCGGCGGCCTCGCCAGCGGAAGGCGACCGAATTCGAAGCGAGACGCAACAGTCTTGGCCTCAGGGTTTCCAGAATCGGCCATCTGCCCATGGCAAGTTGGTGTGTGTGTGTGTGTGCCAGCTGGTCTGTGTGTTTGTGTATCTGCAATGTTTGCTTCAGTCGCGCATGCGGGCGAATCTTTTCGTGTGTTCGGGGCGCCTGGCTCCGTGGGGCCTTGCCACTGGTGGGAGGGTGCGGGTGACGGTGGGCATTTGGCCGCTACTTTTAGGTCGGGCATGTCCTCCTACAGGCGGACTCTGGACGAAAATCGCGAATATTCCAAAAGTGTCAAAATATTCAAACCTGTTATTTGGCTCGAAAACAAATCAAACAGAAAAAACATCGTCCCCAGACTATTTTTGACTGTTTTTGAATTTTCCTCCTGTAGAGGGCCGTGCCCGACTTAGCGCTACTGCTGCTGATGCTGCCCTTCCAGGACATCTGCCCTCGAGGCTCATTTTTGGACCACATAGCTGGCCGATAGATGCTCGGTGGATTGGGGCCATCACGTGTGGGAAAACAACATATTCAGCCTACGTTTGTGTTATCAGCACTGACGTGTTGGCGTCGACGTGGCAAAATGAGCGGCAAGAATTGGACGGGGCGCGCATCCCGCGCGAACGGGCGAATTGTCGCTCTCGGCCTGGCGCCGCCGCGGTCATGTTTCTTGTTGAGTCGGCGAGGTGTGCTCCCGCCTGGCGTCGCGCACGTTTCGCTCGCCCAGTCGTCGGCGCCCCAGCGGATAAGAATGTCGCTCTCGCCTCGGCGCTGGGCAGATGTCGCCCGACAGCAGCGCTCCCGCTCTGGCGCCGCGCCGTTTTTTTCACAGTCAGCCAGGCAAGGTGTGGGCCCCCGCGCTGCGCAGACTTCTCACTCGGCAGGGGGCCCGTCGCCCTCGCGCAGGCTCTGGGCACGGCATTCCCTCGTGGACGCGGCGCACGTCTCGCCCGCCACATCGTATGAAGGCGACCGCGGGGCCGCGCGAAAGCGCGCGAGATGTTGCCCTCGCCCGGGCGCCGCGCCGGTTGTGCGCGTGCCCGGGACAGTGGCAGTGCTGCCGCGACGGGGCGCCTGCTTCGTCTTCGCCGCGCGCATCGGAAGTGCTGCGGTCCGCAGCGCCACGCACGGAATTTCTGATGTTCCGCTCCCGTCCCTGCGCGGCCTGCGTCGTTGTTTTTTCGCGCAGTCGTCGCGAGAGGGACCTCGGGCGAGCGCCTCCCGTTCGGTAGGTGGGAACGCGTTCCAATTCCCATGCAAAGTCGTGCCATAATTTATGGTGAGTCGTGTCGTGGGAGGGGGGTTGGTATGGGCGGGGCCTGCTGACTCCTTCGACCTTGCTGCCTTGATCCTGGTCCTTCTTTCCACTCCTGATCTCGTTCTCGTTCCCCTGCACCCTAGAAGCATGCTGGAACACATCTCAAACTCGCAGGGCCCCGTCGAAACCGCAAGCAAGCAACTTAGTCACACACCAAGGGGTGTGTGTGTGTGCACAGAACAGGGACATCTTTGCTACAAAAGCACCGCGTCAAAAAGCGCTGCTCTGTAAGTTTGCACCCATCGTATTACGGTGCAGCGTGGATTTCGAAACGGGTCCCGATTGAGCAGCGGCAGAAATTGTCTGAACATCACCGCGTATGCTAGCAGCGTGGTGTTCCCTCTCTTGCGTGTTGGCCAATTCGCTACAACGGTGCCCCCGTTTTTAGTTAGATCCTTCTGCCAGTGCAGACGACCCCTGCCTAGACGCCGACGCAACAATTCAACATAGTTGGGCCGAACTCTCTGCATAGTGCACCAGTGAGCTTCACACCGCCCGCTGTTTTCGGCAATAAAATTGGGTACGAATCTGTTGCGCTGCTAACGGCAATTCTCGCCTACAGGTGGCACTTCGCCAAACAGAAGCATCTGCTTGTACAACCTATGTGCACTAGCTGCTTGTGCCTGACGCGGCTCATCACCTCCGTATACGGCGCACTCGACAACGAAGGTGGGCGTCCGCCCATAATCTATGTGACGCACCTGTTCTGGAAGCCATCCAAGCGAATTATTTGGGCTTGTTCAAATCGTACACGTTACAGTCAGCCCGTATGTGAGTTTTGACTCCAGAGCAGAATCGAGCATGCGTAGTTTACGACGGTGGATCAACGATAAATGGGACCTCACTTTATAGAGCGAAGGGGATCTCCGCTTTGCCTCGCTGGTCTTGCGGCCACGCCCCAGACTTGCGTCGGCGTCTGAAGACAGGTTTGCGTTCAACGATTGTAGCTGGTCGACATGTGTCAGAGCTGTACCTTCTTGATCTCGAATGTCACCACTGGCCTTCACTACCAGAACGTGGAGATTGTTCCAAGGCAGCGCCATGCCGTGCGGGCATCCCGCGCCTGAGATCGCTTCAATATATATATATATATATGTATTGTGACAGCACGTATCGTCTTTAGCAGTATGCATATCTTTCCCAGTTTGCCAGGAAGGCGAAGTAGATGGTCATCACGAGGATGAAAAGCAGCGGGCTGAGCGTGCAACCTTGCGAGATGCCTGAACTTTGCGGGCCCGGCGCAGAATTATTGCCGAATTTGTTCGGGGCGAACATTTTCCCCTTCATCATTGAACGTATAATGTCGCGGACCTCGGTTGGGATCCCCACCCGCCTGAGTGAGGCCAGTTGGCCGTCGGTCCGAATGCTATCGAATGCCTTCTGACATTCTAGCGCGACAAGAATTACTGATTTTTTGTTTCTTGCACTCGCCGATACAACGTGCCGCATATGCGGCGTGCTAAGTGTTGCAACCAGCCTGGACGCCCCACTGGGTGGGCCGCAGCTTGTCGTTGACGTCGTCGTCCAGCAGCCTTTTGCTTCATCATGGCAGAGATTGTGAAGTTTCGACTCCGCCGCGACCTCCGCAGGGTCTCCCTGAACCCTCCCCCATCCATCCTTCTTCCCCCCCGCTGCAAACGTCAAGTCGGTGCCCTGGCGCGTCCTCTCTGGCAACGCTCTATCTCAAATCGGCGCGCGGGCTGCGCGCGAATCCGCAGCGGTTTGTTCCGCACCGCCCCCTCTGCCGCCCCAGGACAAGGGAGTGCGGCGCCGCGCCCAGATGCGGAGCTGGCACGGGCAAGGGCGAAGGTGGAAGCAGCGGCAGCAGCTCAGTCGGAGCGGCGTCCTTCTGACAGTTTTGGTCCCCAGGGGGGGCTCTCTCTCCTGGTCCCCGGGGCCATGAAACCCAGGCCTCCGAATTCGCGATTCGTTGCGCGATTCGTTGGACGACCCTGGGGCCCCGCGGGGCCCCCTCCGCGGGCCGAAGTTTGCGAGCGCCGCACGTTGGGGCCCCTGTCGCAGCGAGGGAAGCATCGGGAACTGCGACCCGCGACGGAGGACCCCGGGACACGGGGACGGGGTCGGGAGCTCCGCGGGCGTGGGCCGCGGCGTCGGAGAGGCCGGGGAGGAGGGGGCAGCAGGCGGGCGGAGGGCGAGGAGGGGGAGGAGGACGCACGAGGGGGGGGGGAGGCGTGGGGGGAGTACGGTACGGCTGTCCTCGGAAGTGGGGTCAAGCCCCCTCAGCCGGGGGGATGCACAGGCTAATGAACTCGGCAGCCCAGGCGTGGGGGGAGTAGGGAACAGGGGGGAAAGGAGCGGGAGATGGGTGAGCAGAACGATTTGGACGACCACGACGACGACAGTCTGCCGCCAATGGTGATGACGATTTTGGTGATGGAAGCGGCCATGGTGGTGTTCTGGCGAATATGATGATGCTGCTATGCTGCTAATGATGATGAGAATGATGACGATGTTTATGATGATGGTGCTGCTGCTGCTGCTGATGATGACGATGATGATGATGATGATGATGTCGATGTCGATGTCGATGTCGATGATGATGTTGACGAGAGATGTCGATGGTGATGGTGGCGGTGGTGAAGAGCTGATGACCGTGATGATGGCGATGATGTTGATGATGCTGATGATGATACTGCTGATGAGGGTGATTATGATGGTAATAATGAGTATGATGGCGCGTAAGATGATGGCGATGATGGTGCTGATAACGATGATAATGAGAATGCTGCTGGTGATGCTTGTAGTCATGATGATGGTGGTGATGATGGTGGTGGTGCTAATACTGATGCTGATGATGATGATTTATTGAGGGTGGTGGTGATTCTGATGATGGTGGTGGTGACGAGGGTGATGGCAGTCATATAATGGGGGCGGGGATGATGCTGATGATGATGATGATACTGATGATGATGAGGATGATGATGATGATGATGCTGATGGTGATGGTGATAGTGATGGCGATGGTGTTGGTGGTGGTAATGATGCTGGGGGTGATGATGGTGGTGTTGGTGATGCTAATGCTAATGATGATGCTGATGCTGGTGCTGCGTATCACGCTGCTGCGGATGCTGATGCTGACCATGGTTACATGCTTCGCGTGATGACGTTGACGCTGATAGTGGTGATGATGAGGATGCTGGACGGTACGGGTGTTAGTCATGGTCATGGGCATGGAGACGGTGCGGATGATGATGCCGATGACGATGATGATGGTGATGGCGACGAGGTTTTTTTTATATTGATTATAATGATGGTGATGATGATGATGATATTGATGATTGTGATGGTTGTGGTGGTGGTGATGTTGATGTTGATGCTGATGTTGATGATGCTGCTGATGATGATGATGCTGATGCTTAGGATGATGACGATGAACATGCTGATGAGGAGGAAGAGAATTTTGATGAGGATGCTGATGCTGATTATGATGATGCTGCTGATGATGATGATGATGATTATGTTGTTGTTGGTGATGATGGTGATGGTGATGGTGATGATGGGAGTGCGAGGCACAGTAATGATCTAGAAGCTTCGCAGTGATGTCGACTACCCAATCCTTCCATCGCCTGTTCAAGGTCAGAGCTGGCCTGGAGCTTGGGCCGCCAGCGAATGATCCCCGGCGGCGAGCGGGGCCCTGCCTGGGCGGTGCTGGCACTGGAGTTGGTGCGGGTGGCGCGCGAATTGCGTATGTATGCTGCCAGAGGCCCCGCCGCCTCCGCCAGCCCCGCCGCCCCCGCCGAGGCCACCTGTGCCCCGAGTGGCCGTCGGCGTGGGCTCTCGAGCGCTGCGAGTGGGCGCTCGCGGCCTGCGCGAGCTGCGCCGTGACCGGAAGCGCGCCTGCCGGCGTCTTGGGGTGGCCGCTGGTGCTGGTGGTCGTCGGGGGCCAGGGCGTTCAGTAGCTTGTGTTCGTCTGTGTCGTGCAGAGCCGCCGCCGACGTGTTGCTCAGGAGCCACCGCCTGAAGTCGCAGGCGGACATGCTGCCTCGAGCAGGTCTGCCGCGAAGGCTGCCCCTCCGCTGCGCGGAGGCGGGGTGGTTGCGTGATGCTGTGCCTGGAGTGGTGTCACCAGTCGCCTACATGGACGACGACTTCGACCACGAGCATTTGCTGGTGTGGCCGGTCTCGGACGTTCTGTTGTTCGTGATGCCGACCTCGGCGTCAGGGTGGAGATCCTGCCGGCCCAGGACTCTGACAGCGGCCCGTGTCGCGCTTGGCCCGCGCTTGAGGGGCCCAGTCTTCGCACCCTCAGCGGCTGTACAGGTTCCGGCGGTGTCCCGGCATGGAGGAGATGCGTCTCTAGATGCAGGTCGGCCGCCGGACGGCACCGCTGCAGCCAGGCTACGTGGAGCGGCCAGCGCCAGGCCTGGCGGAGATCGAGAGAGTCGACATGTCATGTTGGTCCTTGAGTCTCGCAACCGGATCGGTGGCACTGCGGCGCCCGATCTCGTCTGGGTGCTGGGCGAGCCGCTGGGCCATGCGAAAATTGAGGGCGAGATTGAGCTGGGATTGCGACACCGACCACGCGCACGGCAAGCAGGCGCTGGCGACGGGCTGCCTTCGCTGGGGGCTCGCGTTTCGGCTTCTTCGTACTGACCCGGGGGCTTTCGCCGCGGCGCTGCTGGAGCGGCACCGGGAGGCGGTCGACGCGCTGGTCCAAGCGCCAGCGCCGATCCTCCCCCTCGCGGCGGCGATCGTGCCTCTCCCGCCGCCCGACGAGGCGCTCCAGGCGATGGCCGAGTCCGCGGCTTCCGCGCCCGGGGTTGACGCCGCTGGCTGGGCTGCCAAGGGCGACGGCGACGCGGGTGTGCCAGAGGATGCGCGTACTCTCTCGATCGACCTGGATGCCCAGAATGAGAGGTACAAGCCGTGGGCGAACGTAGTTGGACAATCTTACAGCCAGCCAGCAATATCCAGAAACAAATTACGAAGGTGCCCGACACCCTGATGCACCTGCTGAAATTCGTTGGGGGGTTTGGAGGTTCAGCGCGAGGCTGGCTGGACATCTGGTGCCGTGAGCATGGGATATCCAAGACGGATCGCGCCCGCAATGAGCTGGACGCGCTGGGGGAACGCACGACCAAAACAAGATGCCGGCGCTCGTGAGCTTCGGGAAGACATGCACCAGTGTCAGCTAATCCTGGACGCGCACGCGGAAACGGGCGCCTAAGGACTGCAGAGGGCCTGGACCTTGAGCTGCGGTGATCGACGTCGTCAGCCTGGCCCCGAGGTTCTACAGCGTCCGCAGGGCGAAAGGGGAAGGCGACATCAGCTCGGCGCTGCCGCGGACGCTCCCGGGCGGGGATGACCCGACAGCGGCGTCGGCGAGTTTGATGACGAGGGCTGGGGCGGCACTGGCGACCTGGAAGGACGCGGTCGAGGGCGAGGTCGCGGCGCGCGGGGCCAGGGGGCCGACGCCTTGGCCAGCGAGGGATGCGCAGCGCCGATTTGGGCGGGGGGAAGGGCCCGATTCCCAGCGCGCAGAAGCTAGCGCAAGGAGGGCTCAAGCCTTCCAATGGCAGCCGGGACACTGGGCGTCGCCCCCTTCGGCGCCGCGCCTCCCCGACGTGCCGGCCCATGGCGACGCGGCCACCGGGGTGGAGGGGGCCCCCGCGAAAAACGCGGCCAGTTCTCTGAGACGAACCCGTTCTAGCTGGTCAGGCTGTTTGCCGAGGTTGATTCCAGGGGCGAGCCGCTGCGAACTCGAGCCCGCCGGCAGGACGCTGGCCCCCACTGACGAGATGCTGCGTCGCTCTCAGACAGCGCGGCGAACTGCCGCGAGTCGATTGAAATGAGCGATGCGCACGGGCGATTCACGGCGAAGAGAGGCAGACGACTGCAACGAGGAGTTGGTTTGATGGCCGACGAAGGATCATGCGTGAGTGCGCCACTCGGACTTCGCTAGGTGGCCGAGGGCGCGGGGCCTGATAAGAATGCGGCGCCGCGCAGCGAAGACAGGTGCGATCTCCGCGTGAAAGAGGGGCCGCGGGGTAATTCTGCTGACGTCGGAATGCAGAAAAGGCGTGTAGTTTCCTTTGTTTTATTTTTCTGTTTGAGAGAAATCCCCTCGCCGAGTTGGCGACCGCTGACGGGGCTGTCGGCGTCGAGCCCGTGGACCGCGGCGACGAGAATGGCGCGGCGCCAGCGTGCATGGGCGTGGCCGACGCGAAAGACGCGCTCCACCGCCTGATCATGCTGGAGCGGCCGTCTCGGCGTTTCGGGCTGCCAGAGGAGGTGGCCGACGATGTCGGCGCCATGCGTGACGTCGTCGGCGGCGAGGTGGCGCGAGCCGGGGGCGAGCTCTCGCCCCTGGCCCGAGCTCTGCCAGTGGCGATGCGCTTGTACTTCTGCCAGCAGGCGAGGGGCTCCGGGAGCAGGGTCGGTCTTTGCGTGGACGGCCTCTCCCCGTGGTCGAGGGGGTCAGCTGGTCTTCGCGTTGGGCAATGGCTTGCATCGGCTGCGCCGCTGCGCGCGCGACGATAACGCGGGCGTTTTCGCCGGCGACCGCGCGGCCGTGGATGGCGCGCGCAGCGAGATGGCGAAGGTCTGCGGGGCCGCGAACTCTCTTGCCCGCGGCGAAGCGGCCCTGGGCGACGCCTGAGCGAAGCCGTTGAAGCGCGAGCGAGCCAGCGGCGCCGCGCTGGAGATCATCTTGGGCCACTGTGCCTCCCGTGGGCTGGCGCGGAGATCTGCGTTGTCGCGATTTCGTTCGGTCTACTAGTTCGCGTCAGTGAACTTACAGGTGCAGC